GAACGTTGAAAAAAAAAAAATTAAAAAAAAAAAAAAAGAAAACCCATTTTCCCTATTAGCCTGTCAACCCTTTGAGGGCAGGGACCATGTCCACCTTGTTCGCTATTATAACTCCAGTGCCTAACACATGGGCCTCAATATTGTTGAGTCAATCAAGCAGCAAACAAAAAACCAGGTTTGGCCAACATTGTTACTGTCCTATTCTAAAAGTTTGCAGGTATCTCAAAGTCTTAGCCACCTAAGTCTTGGTAATACCTTCATTCTCATGATCACTTGGTACGACAAGACTAACGTTTGCCTATCCAGTATGTAGCCTCTGCATTATTGGGAAGGCAATGGTCTTTACGGACAAGGTGGCCAATAACGGGGTGGGGCTTTCGGGAGAACTCTTTAGAGGGGGTTTGACCCTCCCAGGAAGCACGCTCTCTGGCCTCAGCCTTCTTGCCAGTGGCAAGATGACGTCAGCCCGCAGCCCTAAGGCAAACCTGAGGGTAGAAGCCAGCACTGAGGATGATGGAGCAAAAAGAAACAGGGGGCTTGGGTCCCTGGTGACCGCAGAGCCGCCACACCAGCCCAGCTTCAGACTTCTTTCACGAGGGAAAAAAAATTAACCTCTATCTTGTTTAAGCAAGCCCGTTTTTCAGATTGTCTGTTACATGTGATTGAACCCAATCATAACGGATATACCCAAGATCTTAAAGTGAGTTTCAAGCATGAGCTTTGGTTTAGAAACAAACGTCTACAGGTCCTTTCCTAGCCAACAGTTTTTGTTTTGTGTTCTACTTTTTTTTTTTAATTTATTTATATTGAGAGAAAGAGACAGAATGTGCACATATGTGCGTGCGTGCGAGTGGGGGAAGGACGAGGGGAGAGAGACTATCTCAAGCGGGCTCCAGTGTCAGCAGAGTCCAATTCGGGGTTCGAACTCATGACCCCTGAGATCATGACCTGAGTCGAAATCAAGAGTCAGACACTTAACCGACTGAGCCACCCAGGTGCCCCTGTGCTCTGCTTCTTTCCTGAGGATCCTGAGGCAGTTAAGAGCATGTATTTCCATCCACTGCACATGCTATCTTTGAAACTGTCTACTCTGCCCAGCATCCCAGACCTAAGGGTCAACCCGGAGACTCATGCCCATATCACCACTGCAGGCACACTAACTCTTGATGTCTTCAGGGATCTGCAGTTCCAAATCAATCCTCCACAGAATTCTAGCACATTTGACAGAGTTATAAAAGAAGTCAGCGCGAATCTGCTCATTTGTGCCCTTAACATTTGTCAGATGTTGCAAATTTACTTTATTTGAAATGTAAAAGATATGCAGTTGTTTATTTTCTTTCAGATTGATATTCTGTTTTCATTCCTTACCTGACTGAGCAGCAGGCATTTTTGATGAAAAACATTTTTAAATAAAAACCTGGGACCTTTTAAGTAGGAAAGGACTAGAAAATGCCAGCCTATTGTCTCTTGTACTGTGTGTGTGTGTGTGTATGTGTGTGTATCTGTGTGTGTGTGTGTGTGTGTGTGAGAGAGAGAGAGAGAGAGAGAGAGAGAGAGAGAGAGAGAGAGAGAGAGAGAGAGGGATCTCCCATCTCCAGAAAAGCACAAGGTCTCATCTTCCCCAGTAAATAACTAGTAAGTTTAATTCACAGATGGGTCACATAACTGTTATTTGGCTGGCCGCTGTGAACTCCCTAAAGCTAAAAGTACTTTTAGCATCTCACCAATTATGATTTGAGCAAACACTAAAAATCCACCTACTTTCCATCCAAGCCTAGGCCAAAAAGAAATCTGCTGTTTCATCTATGCCTCGAAATGCAGGAAATGTCTTCTGGTTGGTAGACTAGTCTGACACTCATCCCACTGTTCCAAACAAACCCCCTTTCACTACCCTGAGTCACACTGCTACAGCATGAATCACTTCGTGAGGGCATATTCAAAGAGTGGGTAAGAACTTGTAAGGCTGAGAGCAGAAGACATAATTGCTTGAATGCCAGCATTATAATACATAATAATTTAATAATGACGAGAAGAGAATCCCAAGGAATGAAAAGTTATAATAAGGTAGAGAATTATAGGTGAATATGTTTTTTCAAATAAGTATTTTAAACTTGCAAACCTTTCTTAAACATATACATTTTTAAAGCTATAATCCAATCACACTTATTATAGGAATATTATGAGAAGAAAGCCTAAAGTAGGAGTTCTTTAGAAAGTCTTCTAAGCTTTCAGGAATAATTTTCTTTGCTTGCTTATTTCAAGGGTTTTCTTAAAATTCTAAAATCAGGGGCGCCTGGGTGGCGCAGTCGGTTAAGCGTCCGACTTCAGCCAGGTCACGATCTCGCGGTCCGTGAGTTCGAGCCCCGCGTCA